AGATAGATAGATAGATAGATAGATAGATAGATAGATAGATAGATAGAAAAAATTCTATCTGAGCAGATAGGGAAACAGGGCCCTAGCTCACCTCCTGGCTTCCTGTGGGTGGCTGGTTCATCTGCTCATCCAGCTTCTTCTGTAGGAGCTGGAGTTGGGTTCTAGCTTCTGCCAGCTCAGTCTGGAATTGTGTTATTTCTTGGGAATGCTTTCCCTCCTGAATCCTGGCATTTAAACAGACAAACAGGTTAAAAATAAAATGACAAAATTCTTTCAGTTTGTTCTCCAAGGCTGTCTGTGGTGAGACCCTTTAACATTGGCTATAGACAGTATAGAGTATTTCCAGTGCTCTACATTTCCACTAACCCTGCAAAGCCCTTTGTACTCTGGGAGACCAACTTAATTCATAAAATTCAGATTAGGGTGCTATCAGACTGTTCCATAGCACAAGAAACAGACCTCTGGTCTGCTCTAGAGGTGTGTATACCCCCAGTTTACCCTGCCCCTTTCCATATGCCTGAGTTGATGCTGTATTAATGTGAAACTACAAAGAATCTCTGAATAGCCAGGATAATCTTGGATTCAGTGCTCCCAAATGGGGTTCTTTCTATTCCAGAAAGAAGTCAAGGAAGAGCTGGGTTAAGGTTGAAATCAGGTTTCTTGAGATAGAAGTCAGATAATTCTGTTCCTTTGACTGTCCCTAAAGTATTTGGCACCTTAGAAAAAGACAGATGATCCTTGTTGTGAGATTAAAAATGAATTAAAAATAAGAGGAAACCCCAATAGCTATGATGTGCTGTATGGAAAATAGTCATCAAGGTCACCATGGCCAGCCTTGGGGTATCCTTGTGCAAGCACTGGGTACTCACTGGAGCTCATCCACCTCAGCCTGCAATGCCTGTACCAGGTGTTCCTTGGCCTGCAGTTCCTTCTTCACCTCACTCAGCTCCAATGTAGCTGCCTTAAAGTGGCGGCGGTTATGTCCAGCTTCTACCCTGGCAGCAGCCATCTAGAAGAAAGTGAAGAAGTTGACTTTACTAACACACAGGTTGTACCATGATAAATGCCACAAGTAACAAGTACCAAAGTACCAAACCCAAGTAGAACTGGTTTGTTCTTGTGTATTTTTCTTTCAAAACCAACTTACAGATAAAGATGAAGGTTCTGGCTCTACGCTCAGCACAGTGTACTAGCGACACAATACTGACACACTCTGCTGAATGAAAAAATTCATTCAGTTTTCTTAGTTTAAATAGGTTTGAAATTCCTCAACTATACCTGTTTATTGCTAGTTAAGTTTATTCCTAATTCTTTTTGTTTTTCAAGACAGGGTTTTCCTGTGTAACAGCCGTGGATGTCCTCCAACTTGCTTTGTAGACCAGGTTGGCCTCACAGAGAGATCCTCCTGCCTCTGCCGCCTGGCGCTGGGATTAAAGGTGTGTGCCAGCACAGCTGGCTATTACTAATTCTTATATTTCCACCTAATTATAATAATGATTTAATTCTATTTATGATGTAATTGGCCTCCTCTGATCATTTGCTGATTTTCAAAGTCAACAACAGATTCTCCCAAGATTTTCAAGCTAATTCTTGAATGCATAAAAAAATTTCATTTTCTTTTCTAATAACTTAGAAATACTAGTTAGAGAAACTACAGCTCGCTTGTATGCGCCTGAGTGGTAGCATTCTTGCCTAGCAATTTAGGGGCCTAGGGTTCACTGTGAAAAAGAAAAAAAGAAGGTATCAACAGAGTCATAGTAGTTATTTAATGTGCTCTATACTTTCATTTCAATGGGCCTTAGAATTGTGTCACAGGTTTTTTGGTCAAGTTGTTTCCATTTTAAAATGACTGCTTTCAAGATGAGATCCAACACAGAGATCCATAACAGGACAATGTACAGAGTGAGAAATTTTGGAATACCCAGTCCAAAATCAGGTATCTTCATCAAATCTCCCCCTTCAGGGCTCAGGGAGATAGATATTCAGAAAAGAGTGGAGAACCAGAGAGGACAGATGATGTCTTCCAAATACAATAGGATTAAAGTGCACATGAACTCACAGAGCCTATGGCAGCATACATAGGGTTGTACAGGTTTAAGGCAGACAGACAGGGTCAAGGCAATGACAGGGTAAGTACACAGGGACTCCCACCCCTACCCAGAAACTTTCTGCCACTGACACCACTTACAAGGAAAAAATTAGTTTTATTCAATAGAATCTCACTAGATATATTAACCATTTGCTCAGGAGTAGTTGGCCAACACAAAACAAACTCAATGGTATTTTTTGCAGACTTTTAAAAGTCTTGTATTATTTTGTGGATTTTTTTTTTTTTGTCTTTTTGTGGTTTATTTTATTTTTTTGCTTGTATACTATGGTTTCTGGTTTTGTTTTATGTGTTTCTGGTGTTTTGTTTTGTTGTTTTTTTGTTTTGTTTTGTTTTTTTAAATTCTCTTGCTTGCCTGTTTTTTAGAGTAAGAAAGGGTATAGAGTTGGGTAAGTAGAGGGGTAGAAGGAGCTGGCATAGGGAAAAGCATGATCAGAATAGATTGTATAAAAACATTTCAATAAAAGGGAAAAAAAAGACTGCTTTAAAAACTAGTAAAATTAACACACACACACACTTCTTAAAATATTCCTCAGCTGGGTACCATTATGCACACCTTTAACCAGGACTTGAGGGGCAGATCTATGTGTTCTTGAAGTCAGCATGTCTACATTGCAAGTTCCAGGCCAGCCAAGGCTATATAGGGAGACTTTGTCTAAAAAAGGACAAAAACAAAAACAAACATCTCCCAAAATTTTTTCCTTCTGAAGGTTTTAAAGCACATTATCAATGTCTTATAGGCTAGGGAGATGCATCAGTGTTTAAAGTATCTGCCATGAAAGCAAGAAGATCAGAGTTCATATTCCCAGAATCCACATAAATACCAAGTGGGCATGGTGAGCCATCTGAAAGGACAGCATTAGAAGGCAGGATCCCAATGGACACTAGCCATCAGCAAATTCCAGATCTGATTAAGAGACTTTGCCTCAAAGGATAAGGTGGAAGATCCATCAAGGAAGATTCCTAATACTAGCCTTAGGCCTCCTCCATATACAAGTACACACTCATGATGAACATCTGTACACATACAGCTGTTCCTGTACACATACCTGTTCCTTTAGGCTGTTTACTTCCATCCTTTCTTTCTCTAATGAGACTTGTAAGGCTTGGACAAGTTGCTTCATCTGGCGATCCTCCTCCTCTTTGCGCTGTAAAACTGCCTGCACCTATATCACATTATGAAAGGATGAATAAGGAACAATATCAATTCAAAGCTCCTATACAACCCACAATACAATTTGAAATTCTCTACAGTCAGCCATCATGTGGAGCCAAGTAGGATTGCGTAGGTAATGATGACATCACAGGAAAGGAAATAAAATAGGGAAGGTGAGAAACCCCCTCTCTGGGCTGGGAATGTAGCTCAGTTGGTAGATTGCGTGCCCAGCAAGTATAAAGCCCTGGATTTGGTTCCTAGCACATATATATAACATAAAACAAAACATATAGGCACGGCTATAATCCCAGGACTCAAAGTGGAAGGATTAAAAACTAAAGTCATCATCCTCAGCAATCTAGTGAACTTAAAGCCAGCCCAGATGCATGATCCCTGCCTAACAAATAAATAACTAAATAAATAAATGCAGGAATCTGAGCTCACAGGAGTGTGTCACATGGCTGTGTTCTTGAACACAGCTGAAACCCAAAAGAAAGATGCAAATGTGTCATAAGAGATGTTTACAAGACAGCCCAGCACCAACAGGAGTGATAGAAACTAGAGCAAAACGTAAAATAACTAAACTCTCCTAAAATAACTCTTAATAAACTCTTAAAATTTTAATTACATATTTTAAGGCTTGTGTGTGATATGCTGTACTGGCTGTTTTTGTGTCAATTTGATACAAGCTAGAGTCGTCAGAAAGGAACCTCAGTTGAGGAAATGGCTCCATAAGATCTAGCTGTAAGGCATTTTCTCAATTAGTGATCAATGGGGGCGGGCCCAGCCCATTATAGGTGGTGCCACCCTGGGTCAGTGGTCCTGGACTCTACAGGAAAGCAGACTGAGAAGCCAGACTGAGTAAGCAGCACTCATCCATGGCTTCTGCATCAACTCCTGCCTCTAGGTTCCTGCCCTGTTTAAGTTTCGGTCCCAACTTCCTTTGGTGATGAACAGCAATGTGAAAGCTGAATAAACCTTTTTCTTAACAACTTGCTTTTTGGTCATGGTGTTTCATCACAGCAATACAAACCCTAACTAATACAGTAGTGGAGTACTGCTATGACAGACCTGACCATGTTTTGGGGAAGATTGTGAAAGGACTTTGGAACTCAGGGCCTGAAGAACCATTGAGTTCATTAAGAGCTCAGTAGCATGTTCTTTAGGAGCTTGGAAGGCAAGAATGTTGAGAGCAGTGCAGAGATGAAGGTCTGGCTTGTGAAGTTCCAGAGGAAACTTCTACCAGGGCTGTTTAATATTTTGAATTAAGATTCTGTCGTTCTGGTCAGCTGGGGCTGAAGAGTCAGCTGCAATTACGATTACCAGCACCATCAAAGTGAAACTTTTGCATTCCTGCAACAACTGATGCTAGTTAGCAGGAGCTAAGAAAGTAGCAGTGATTGAGAGAAGTCCAGCATCACTGAGGTGAAATCTTCTGGGAAGTGTTTCCTGAAAGCACAGAAAAGCTGTGTTCCAGAACTGGCCAAGGTTGTATCTCATGCTGGCAGCCAGACTTGGCAGCATAAGAGTCACCAAGGTGGCACTAGTTTTGAAGGCATAAAGGAATCATGTAGATCAGTTGAGGAGAGATACTGTGAGAGGCCGTTAGTGAAGGTGCATCCTCAGTGGCCCTAATCGACATTCTGAAACTTTTTCTGAAGTGTTCAGCTACTTCCAAAGCTCTGTAGAACCTTAGGAGCTATGAATAGAATCTACAGTAAGATGCTAAACTGAAGTTCAAATTCCAGTTCTAAATCTTATCAGGACCTCAGGCAAGTGTCTTTTGCACGTGTTCCTGTCTAGAACCAGAGAACAATCTGACCTGTCCCACCAGGAGCCTACTATGCAAAAGGAACTAATGAACTTGGTACGATGACTACAGGCTCTTACAGCTGGAGATCCAGGTTTGTGCAATGGCCAGGTTCCTCTGAGACACTGAGATAGGTGTGGTGGTCCCCTGAAAGTGGCTACGACCCAGTATGGTGAGATAATGACAACAAATATGATCCACATGACTCTCATGCTGCTTCTGGCAGATAGGTCTCAGCACCTGAAGATTCAGCTGCACCAGGTCAGCTTCCCTCTTGGCTAGTGCAGTCTCCAGAATGCTGTTGTGCTCCCGCAAAGCTGCATTAGACTGTCCGAGGCCGGTAAGCTTCCCTCGCTCATGTTCTAACTCCAGAGCCAGTTTCTTATTTGACTCTTCAAGACGTTTTATCTTCTTTCTGAAGCCTCTGGATTCTTGAAGCTGAAACATATTGGTACATGTAAAATTTCATGCTCTGGGCGGGTGTGGTGTCCATGCCCACAACCCCAGTACTTGGGAGGCAGGGGCAAAGGAAGAGGGATCAATTCAAGGCCATCCTGGACCCTGTGTCAAAAGCAACACCTTCCCACATAAAAAATTCATATTCTACTAGATAGACTCAGCTAAAACAGGTGAGCAATTTTCAACAAGGGCTAATACTAAAGCACAAACTGTCCTTGACTTATTACCTGGGAAGCTGCTACTCTTTTACATTCACAGTCTTCAGAGAAGCTAGTCCAGAAATGGCTCAGGGCCTTGGCTAAGCGAGGACAGGATAGAAACTGAATAAAATACATACCCCTAAAAGTTATGTAAAATTCCTAAAGACCCTGCTGGAGCAGCATGGTAGGCATTGGGGTAGACCAGGGGCTGGTGACAGGCCCTTACTGACTATGTGAACACTGCCTGAATAGGGCCAATAAACTGTTTCTGTGTTTTCAGTTCTTTGACAGGCTTAATTTGGGTTTGTTATTTACAATCAAAGCATTCTAACTGGGAAAAGAATAGAATTATCTAACATTTAAACACTGAAATATGCCAAATCTGTTATCTACAAATCTATTAGGATGGATTCATATTTATCTTGGGACTCATGTGTCACATAAGGTATAGGCTAGACACACCTGCCTCAGAATAGAAGTCTCAGTAGACATTTGGTAACTGTAAAGTAATAACTACTACCTCTCTAGAGTATTGGCAACAATCTGGTCTACCAACAATTACAAGGTAATTAAGTGCCAAGGAGCAATGCTAAGCAGACAGCAACACTGTGTTTAGGAATTACCTCATCTTCCAGCTCCAGCACCTTCTCCCGGGACTCTTCCAGCTCCTGGCTAGTCATTGTGATCACCTCCTGTAACTCCTTCTCCAAAAGTATCTTGCTTTGGCCAACATTCTGCAGTTCTACCTCCAGAGCCCGAATCTTCTCCTGAAAGCCAAAATGGGAATCACGTTTATTTTAGTCACTGGTCCTTTCCTCCTTCAACTCTCATGACCACATTCTAGATTTTGTTGTTTTTAATTTTTTATTATGTTATTTATTTATTTGTGTGTGTATGTGTGTAGGTGCTCTTGTATGCAGGTAGAGTTCAAAGGACAACTTGTGGGAGTCAGGTCTTTTCCTTCCACCATGTGATTGGGGATCAAACTCTAGTCATCAGACATGGTGGAAGGGGCCTTTACCCAATGAGCGATTTAGCTAGCCCTATTGTTTTGCTTTTTGAAACACAGCCTTCCTTACTTAAAAGACAACACTGGCTTTGAACTAGTGAACCTCTCCCCTCAGCCTCACAAGTGTTGGGATTACATCACTAAACCCAACTCAGAAAGCGCTATTTTGTTTATTTGAGATAGGTCTCATGTAGCTCATGTTGGCCTAGAATTTGCTATACAGCCAAGATTAGCCTTAAAATCCTAATCATCCTGCTTTAGCACTTGTGAGTTCAAAGCCAGCCTGGTCTACAAAGCAAGTTCCAGGACAGCGAGGGCTATTATACAGAAAAACTCTGTCTCGAAAACCAAAACCAAAACCAAAACCAAAACCAAAACCAAAACCAGAAAAGTGTCATAAGGACTTCGACAGGGAGAAATGTGTTTACCTACATGTAGAACAGGGTCACTGCTGCCACCAGCGTTCTGAGCTCTGAGCTGGCTCAGCTCTGCATCTGTGGCCTCCTTAGAAGCCAGCGCCTCCTGCAGGCGGCGGCTGAGAATGCTCACAGCATTCTCATAAGCCTTGTGCTTAGTCTTCATTTCCTTCTGGGCACTGGTCAGATCTGAGCCCAGCCGCTTCATCTTCTGCTTCTGTTCTGTGATGGCCCTGAGACATGAGTGAGAAACCCGAGTTAACCTCCAGTGTAAACAACCAGCTCCCTGGCCTGAAACACTAAGAGCACATGTTGCAGTCAGTTCAGCCTTCAGGGCTGGATAGTGACTTTTTCTTTTTTTTTTGGTTTTGGTTTTTTGAGACAGGGTTTCTCTGTGTAGCCTTGGCTGTCCTGGAACTTGCTCTGTAGACCAGGCTGGTTTTAAACTCAAGAAATGTGTCTGGCACCACACCAGGATTAGGGTAGTGCTCTTGAGAGGCCACTTCAGCTTAATCCCATTCTGTCTCCCCAGAACCTGGCTGGCCCTCAGGAGGACTTGGGCAAGTGTGTTCTTGCTCTGGTTTGATTACTGAAGAAGAGGTATCTGTCAGTAATCCATGTTAGAGGGACAGGAAAACAATGTGAATCCACTAAGTCACATTCACCATCATCAAGACCTGCCCTCCTCTTTGCATAATTTAAAAGTGCTTCTATGGTGAGTATGGTGGTGTACACCTGTAATCCTAGCATCTGAGAGGCTGAGGCAGGAAGACAGCTGCAGGACTTGAGGGATGGCTCAGAGGTTAAGAGCACTGGCTGCTCTTCCAGAGGTCCTGAGTTCAATTTCCAGCAGCACCACATGGTGGCTCACAACCATCTGGTGTCTTCTTCTGGCATGCAGATGTACATGCAGACAGAACATTGTATACATAATAAATATTTTTTAAAAAGGGGGGACAGTGCTGGACACAGGGAAGCTGCAGCTATAGAGCGAATCCTTTTCTCAACAAAACAAAATGATCTTGTGAAGGCAGAGAAACAGAAAACGCCAACCAAGATATCCCCAACATTTTTCCTGAAGGTAAAAAATAAACTCTTATTTATTTTATTTACTCGATTTATTAAGATATTATTACTAGCTGATAAAACACAAGCAGCACAGAATATAGCATGGATTAAACAGGCCCCAAGAGGTTGGGAGTCAGAGCTCACACTGTAATCCCAGCATTTGAGAAAATGAAGCATGAATATCACAAGTGTGAGATCAATCTAGGCTATAAAGAGAGATACTGTCTCAAAAAACTAAAAGAGCAAAGGTAGCTGGATCTCAATGTACTCCGGGACAGGTGGGGCTACACAGTGCTATTCTGTCTCAAAACATAAAATTAAAATAAATAACTGGCCCAAGAGGATGTTTCCATGTGTACATATGTGTATCTGAGTAATATGTGCACGCACATACTACAGTATGATGAATAAATATCAAAGTGTCAACCCTAGTGATGAAACAGAAATGACAGGCTATTGACAGCGGTGTGTGACATAAAAATTCAAATTAAATAAAAGGAGAAGGATATTTTAGTGTGCTCAACATCCTGGCTTTCATCCCCAGCTTGTGGGGGAAAGGGGCGCTTCTGTAAAGGATGGTTGAGCAAATTAATTTTTTTTTTTTCTTCCCAAATTAACTTCTAAACTCGGATAAATAAGTAAGAAAAAATGAAATCAGGATGGAACTTTAGAATCCATGCTCCAAGCTACCTTTTTCATGAGCTCAAATTCAGTAAGAGTACGTTATGGACATAGCAACATCAAGGACTATACAGACTGTTCCCTCAGCAGAGCTGGCGCCCCTTATAGGTAAGTGTATGCTCCTTACAGACTTACTTCTTGGCCTCTTGCTGCAGCTCTTCTATTTGTTTCTTTAGTGTCTCATTGGCCTCAGTAAGGGCTATCATCTTCTCTTTGTCAAACTGCAAAGACTTTAAAATGAACAAAAAATGTGCAGTAAGTAAAGAACCACCTATTCCAGATATTTGCCACTGATAAATAACACTTCATAGAGGTCAAAAGCATTTCTGAGGGTTAAAGAGATGGCTCCGCAATTAAGAGAACTGGCTGTTCTCCTAGAGGACCCAAGTTTCAATTCCCAGAAACCACATAGAAGTTCATAATCACATGTAATTCCAGTTCTAAGCAATTCAACACCCTCTTTTGATTTCCATGGGTGGCATGCTCATGGTACACAGATATGCACGCAACCAAAACACCCATATACATAAAAGAAAACAAAATAACAACAAAAAATTTCTGGCATCTGTCCAGACCATTAAATACCTTTCTGAAGCTAACGTCCTGGCAGTAAAGATAGTTCAGGTTAGCTCAGGCCTTACTTGATGCCTCATGAAAGGTACAAGGTGCTGTTGGGTAAGCACTAGACATACCACCCTTATAAAATCATATTCGCCACTTGCCTATTTTTTTTTTTTTTTTTGGTTCTAGCATGCTACATATCACCTTTCCAAACTTCTCATCCAGGAAATGTTTCTTATTTGAGACAGAGATCTCTATCTCTACCCTTAGGTCATCCCTTATCCCTACCTTGTCTGATCACCAAGCCAGTCACTCTACTCATTAAAACAACTAGCCTCAGGGGCAGTATAGCTGTCAAGAGACCATGGGTAGCTACATGATCCTCTCAGTGCCTGCACCCTCCTAAACTCGGACTATCTGCAGAGCACTCTCTCCTTTTCATCTGCTGCCAACCACTAGCTCCACAGACCCTATGGTATGATGGCATGTCCAAGTGCTTGCTCTTCTTGGTTTCTTTCATGTGGCATCACAGCCTGGATTTATATGATATTAGTTTCAGGAAGGCCCTGTCTCTAGATTGTTTCAAAAGCCTTTCTTGGCTGGTGCTCCCCATTCCACCCTGTACACAGGAAGCCCCCACCGCCCTTAGCTGAACCTTCACAACTCAAAAGAACCTATCCATTGCATTCCACCTGCAGGTGAATCTCCATTTCATCTCGTTCTTTCTGCACTGACTGAAGATGCCCCTCAAGATCTGCCATCTGCTGGTGAACCAGAGACATGTCCTTCTGCAGCCGTGAGTGCTCTACTTCCACAGTCTTCTTCTCTCCATGCAGCATGATTAGCTCCTGCCTCAGTTCCTTCATCTCTGAGTCCAGCCGTTTTTTTGTTGCTTTGAGCTCACTGATGAGTTGGTCTTTGGAAGTAGCATCTCGCCGGTATGCCTCTACCATTACCTTCAGGACAAAACACAGTGCCAGTCAGCATCTTACCCAAGGAATAAGGGTACCTTATGAAAATGTTTACCAACGATTCAAGGCAGAACCCTCTTCTCACCAACATAATAGGTGTGGAAGCCAGGGCTTAGAGGATGAGAGGCAAGTGCTTTCACTACTAAACTACATCTCTAGCCCTAGTGTACAACTTTTTACACAAAACAACACACTTTATGAAATCTGACAGTACCCATTGAGAAACACCAATAATGATAGCATGTCTAGATTTCTGTCATATGATATGACTACAAACTATGCTCCCAAAATCTGGATACTGCATTAAGCATCCCATTATTCTTCAGGGATCCTTATATCTTCTGGATAATCTCTCAAGAATTAATCTCTCTGAGGTTGGTGTACCTGGATTCTGAAAGTTAGTCCTTCGCTTATCTTAGTAATAAACTGAAACACTACTTATAAACAAGCTTTGGAGGATCTTCTTTTCTCAGAACAAAACATTCAACTGATGGCTGGCACAAAGTAAGGAATCATAGCCGTTCCTCTACCAGGAGACAAGGGCTTCACAATATAAAACTTATATCATATTGGGTACAAACTAAATTTGTTTTAATGTTGGATTATAGTGTAAACTTTTCACACATTTTATACAGCAAACACAACCAGCACACACTGACAAAAATGTATACACAGCTCTTGGGAATGATGATGTCAGGGTATCCTTACAAGGCACCACAATGGTAGGTATTACACTCAGTCTTTGAAGATCATAGATCCTATCTCAGGGTAGAAAGGGCATCCTGCCTCACTGACAGGGGGTTGGGAGGAGGGCACGGACAACTTAGAACAAATGCAATACCTTTAAAAAGGATCAGTAAGACCTAGATGCTTCCATCTTTCTGATTTTGTTCTACTGAAACAAATAGACTACTCAGCAATATGTCCAACACTTGTTTCCTATGTCTTACCTTCTGTTGAAGAAACTGCTCCTTTACTTTCTGCATCTGTTTTCGCAATGTGGCTGTCTCTTGCTGCAAGTGCTCCACCTACAGGAGAAATTTGCAGAAGGATGGGTGGCCTGACAGTTCTAGGTCTGTGCCCAGTGGCATTTCTAAAGAGCCAGCATCATCCAGAGCACAGAAGGTAGCTTTCAATCAGATACATGTTAATAGCCCAAAGGCTGCTTAGACAGGACACATAACCAGCATCCTCCCTCCTTGCCACTTTAAAAGTACAAAGACAAGGTGAAGAGCAGTGGAGTGAAGGAAAAGATGAGTTAGGGGATGCTCCAGAGTAGATAGTTGCAAGCCTTTCCTGGAATAGCCAGAGTTTTATGGACCACACGTCTGCTACAGCTTCTTAGCTCTGTTCTTGCAGCAGAAAAGCATCCAGACACTACATAAGGGAATGAATGAGGTTCTGATCCACTGAAGCTCAACTTACAACAACCCACATCTTTGTGACTTAATGCATACCAGAGACCAGCTAACCCATACTATTTGGAAGCTTGTAGAAATTGCCATCTCAGGGCCCAGACTGATCTGCACATGAAGAGCCCCAGGGACTCAGGAATACATGATGTATGTGAAGGGCTACCCTGGTACAGAAAAAAAAGCTTACTGTTGCTTTGTTTTTGTGTATGAGAGAAAGAAAGATGGAGAGATTCTGGGGACTGAACTCTGGTGCATACGAGGCAAGAGTTCTACCACAAAGTAGAACCCCAAGCCCAATAACAAAATGCTTTTGAACAAACCAAAGACACCCCACCAAGACTCTTAAACAGCACTCTGCATGGTACATGTCCATGATAAATGATAGCGATAACCAGACACAGCACATTATTCATTCAACCATTATATTCTGAAGTGGCAGTGAAATCAGGCTCACCTGACAGCAGTTATTTTGCATACAATGCCTCAGATATGGGAAGAGCTTGTTGAGTACTAAGGTTTTCTATATTAAAATGAGTCCTCCTAAAAGACCAAAACATGGTCCACACAAATCTAGCGGTAACTTGACACAGCAAGAAAACCAGTAGCCATTTTTCCTACAATCTGGAGACTGTTCTCAGATTCTCCTTCAAGAATCCTAAGAAGGGACTAAGGCTTTGGCTCTTCCAGACATATCTTCCATTACCTCCTGCACACCAGGAGATCACTATGTCACCTGCACACTAGGCCTCATTACAATTCCACAGAAGAAATAAGAGGATGAACTAGGCAAAGAGGAAACTGAGGTCAGTAAACCCCAGAGACTTATCCGGACAGCACTTTCTCAGAGACCCTTGAGGCCACATGCCCATTCTAACCAGCCAGGTGGGACAGCTAGCACCTGGGCAGGGCAGAGATTGAGAGACAGTGCTTTCCCTGTAAGGCTACCTATATGCTCCTTATGTCAGGAAATAAGACTTCAGAGCACCAACCAACATGCAGGAGAACCTCACTCCACTATGCTGCTCCATCTTTAAGGAAATCATAATACAGCACAGTAAAATCTCAACATGATAAATACTGTCTATATAATGGATGTTTCAGTGTCAGCTGAGGTCCCTCTTACCACACTAACAGAGAACTCTGACAATTCCCCCTAAATTAATGTCTACAAGAAAAACAGGATCCCTATCCTTGTCCTTACAGGACAGGATATTCAGGCAGAATCATTCCAACACTAGTTCCACTTACTGAGCATCTTTCTCTGCTATGTAGTTTTTATAGATCTGTTAATTTCTATCAATGTCAACTGTTAGCACACTGTTGCTGAGCTGGGCTTTTACATTCCAGGGCATTGTGTTAACAGGAGGAACTTATCAGGAGGTATCTATCACAGTCTGAATACCACTATCACATCATATCACACGTAGGAGAAAAAAAAAAGGAAAACCAAGTATAGTGCAACTTCTCCTCTAGCTGAACGCCATAACACTATTAGTAAAACCTGTTGTTTTTTGGGAAGATATATTTAAAAGTCCCTCCTCCCCATTTCGTTTCCCAGGATCTGGTTCCTCCACACCCAGAGGCTAATGGAGAGAAAAGGGTATAACAAGAACTACTGGTTTCTTGCTAAGTAGTGCCAAATAGAAGTCTTATCAACGAGGTTATTTAATGTTCCATACATACTAGAAATGGAGAGATGTGTTTCTAATCTGTCTTCCCATGACAAATGGTCAGAAAGAAGACCCATTCCATACTTGGTCACTTTTTAAAAAAGGAGTGAGTGAGTGAGTGAGTGAGTGAGTGAGTGAGTGAGTGAATGACTGACTCAGTGATTGAATAACTGAAATGGGGCCTCAAGAACACTCTTCCCTTGATCACTCACATTTGCAACAGACCACATCCCAAAAAAGAATTAATGAATGATCCTTCAGAAAACAGCTAAGATCAAGTTACCTGGTTGGACTTGACAGCCAAGTCTTGTCTCAATTGTTCCAAAACCCCTGCTGTCTCCTCAGTATTTTCTTCTAAACGCTGTGCTCCTCTGTCAAGTTCTTCCTTGTCACTCCTGGCCGAGTGCAGAGCCACTTCCAAGACAATCTTCTCATTCTCCAAGAAGTGAATTGTGTCTTCCCTGGAGTCAGCCTCTCTCTGCAGCTCCTCCAGCCTTGCTTGTAGCTCATCATAACGTGTGTGCAGGTCATCAAGGGACTGCCCTTTCGTCTGCAGAGCTTCTTGTGTTGATGTGAGCTGCTTTATCACATCTAGGTGTTCCTGCTGAAGTGCTGCAAGCTGCTGGTCTCGCTGGAACAATGTCAGTTTCACCTGGGAATAAGTGATAAACTTAACAGGCTGCCTAGTACAAGAGCTTATATATTTTTGATGTTCAGAATTTAAGTAATTTTGATGGATTCAATAAAGGGTCTTTTTTTTTTTTGTGGAGGAGTGGGGTTTGTCAAGACAGGGTTTCTCTTTGTAGCTTTGGCTGTCCTAGACTTGCTTTGTAGACCAGGCTGGCCTCGAAGTCACAATGATGTGCCCGCCTCTGCCTCCCTGAGTGCTGGGATTAAAGGTGTTTAACACCACACCTGGCTTGAAGGGTCTTTTTTATGTAAAATTTTAGAGTAGAAGAACATGAATAGAAGAAGCAAACTTGTGGTCAGGCTGGCAATAGAACAAATATATTCAACAGATAACCCCAAACAAACCTGAACTACCAACACAGCCTGATACCAGAGATCACACACAGGCCAAGTATGAACGGTATGTGGACATGCATACCAGGTAAGGTCCATATCCACAGAAATCTCTGTGAGCGTAGGGTCCAGGTAGCAGCATTACTTGCCTGTTCCAATTGTTGCTCTAGAGATGATGCTGCATCTGCTGCTTTCTGTAACTGCTCCCGTTCACCTTCAAATTCTTCCAGCTTCCTTTGGAGGTCCTCCTCGACCATTGTTTTTGCCTCTTGAATCTGTGCAAAGGCTGCCTCCTGATCCAACATGTCAGCCTGAAGAAGAAAATAGTGTTTCTTTTAAAGATTTATCTCGTGTGTATCAATGTTTTGACTGCATAAATGTATGGGTACCACACGCATGCTTAGTGCCTAATGAGGCCAAAAGAGGGCTTTGGAGCTCCTGGAACTGGAGTTAAGATGGTTGTGAGCAACATGTGGGTCCTAGAAAGTCAACCTGGGCCCTTTAGAAGAACAGTAACTTCTCTTAACTACTGAGCCATCTCTCCAACCCTAGAAACAGTAGTTCTTAGAAAGCAGAAAAATTTGATCATCAATAACAAACTTCAAGTCTCACCCTTTACAGAGAAATCCACTACTATGGAAAAAGTTCCTATTCACATCTCCATCCTGTCTATGAACTGCAAACTGAAAGTCTCAGAGTCAGTAACTGGTACATATTGACTTGCACAAGGTAGAGACAAGGCCAGGCTACTCAGGACTCTTATCCCAGCTGACCAAGACTGTCCCAAGAGGGTCCTGTCCCAAGAGAGGACCCTCCCGGCTACTTAAAAAGCTGAGGTGGAAAGAGGAGTACTGTGGGTCTCATGGATCGTGCCTCTAGGCATGGGACTACTAAAATGGAGCATGTTCAAACCCTGGAAATCTCAAACTTGAGATTTAAAATCTCATCCTGAGAATGGAAGGTATGGGACAAAGCTTTCTCCTTGTCTTTCCACAGATCACTTAGACAAAATAGTTCAGCTATAAAAAGTGCTTGCCTAACATGCATACAGGCCTGGAAGTACTGCATAAAACTACAAGTGGAGGCACACACCTGCAATCCCAGCACTTGTGGCAGAGGAACTGGGGATAGAGAAGGTGGAGGCAGAGGCAGAGGCAGCAGAGGTAGATCTCTGTGATTTAAAGACCAGCCTGGTCTACATTCTACAGCAGCCAGGACTATATAGTGAGACCCTGTCTCAAAATAGAAGTATAGTAGTAGTTGCTGTTGTTCAAGGTCCTCCTTGTTATGCAGTGAGATCAAGGCCAGCATGGGCTATGAGACCCCATTTCACTCACTCACTCACTCACTCACTCACTCACTCACTCACTCACTCA